ACCTTTGCGGCCGAGGGCACGAATGGACACGTTTCTCGACAAATGGTGCAGATGGCAAGGGTGGAGTGTCCCTTCACTGCACAGCGAAGGTCCCGCGTGCTCCCCGTCGTGATGACGAAGATGAGGACGATGAGAACGATGAAGGGAGACGTTCCTACAATCTGTGCAACCGCAAGATGACATGGCGCCAGGCAGGAACCTTTCCATTCTACCTTTCGAAAAACTTGACTCCGCACTTGTACCTGAAGATGCTTTACTACTACGCTTCAGACGCAGACTATCAGACATGCAAACGCGAGTGTGGCGTCAAGTCCAAAGTTTGGCGGCTCTTTGTGCAGAAAATTCGAGCCATCTTGTGGCTTGTTGTTGGCCAACAACAGCAGCAGCAACTTGGTGGCAGAGATCGTATCGTTGCTGTGGACGAAACGTTTTTCACTACCAAGAAGCGCTCGAGAGGGGGCTTCCGGGGAAGAGAGACTGCTGGACACGCAACGCTTGTTTTGGGCATGATCGAGCTGGATTTGCACACGCGGAGGGCAACTGGTCGTTGCCTCTTGCAAGTCATTCCCAATCGGACGAAGAGGACGCTGAAGCGACTTCTTACGCAGCACATCGTGCCTGGAAGCCTCGTTTTTACGGACGCGTTGAAGTCATATCGCTGGATGTCTGCTCGGGATAGTCCATTTGTCCACAGGTATGTGAACCACAAGAAGCGCGAGTTCAGTCGAGTGGAGAGGATCTTCGGACAAGAGATTAACGTCTCTTCCAATGCAGCCGAAGGCCTTTTCGGAAGGTTGAAGTCCTATATCCGGCAGCGTGGTATCAAGAGGGTCTCCAAGCAATGTTATGGACGCGTTCTGGCTGAGTTTCTCTGGAGGCAGACGTGTTCTGCAAGAGACGAAGAGCCATATTCCGAGCTGCTGAACGAAATTTTGACTTGGCAGCAACGACACCCCAACGCTGTCCAGCACAACCCCAGTTTGGTGATGTCCCTCCCTGAGGATTTCCGTGCGGATTTCGCCAGTATTTTCGAGGATGAGGTGCCGCAAGGACCGCAAGCGCCCCAACCCCCGCAAGCACCACAAGCGCCGCAAGTTCCGCAACCTCCACAAGCGCCGCAAGTGCCGCAAGCTCCGCAACCGGAAAGAAGGGAAGGAAGGGTTTAGGATGAGCATGGAGCCTACACTGCTTAAGGAAGGGTTTCAGGTGCTTTGTGACCCCAAACTGCTTGAGGAAAAGAAGGGTTTGGGGTGGTTATTGAGCTTAGTTTTTTCAGGAAGAGTTAGCATGTTAGCGACCTAAACTGCTGGAAGACGGAACGCGGGGAAGGGTTCGGGATGCTCAGGGATCCTGCTTGAGGAAAGGTTGTTTAGGATGCTTAGTGCCCCTAACTTGTTTGAGGAACAAACGGGGTGATTATCGAGCCTAAACTGCTTCAAGAAGGGTTTAGGGTGCTGCTTAGCGACCCAAACCTAAACTGCTTGAGGAAGGCACGGGACGAAGGGTTTAGGATGCTTAGTGAGCCTGCTTGAGGAAGGGTTTAGGATGCTAAGTGGCCTTAAACTGCCTCAAGAAGGAACGGGAGGAAGGGTTTAGGATGACTATTGAGAGCCTGAAGTGGTTGAGGTACCACCTGTTAGATTTTTGGTGGAGGCTGGGCGCATACGACATCTAAGGTAAGCCAGGGGTTTGGGGGGACTGCTTGCATAACAAATCAAAAACGAGATGCAAAATCTGCTTGCGGAAGGGTTTAGGATGATTATTGAGCCTAAACTGCTTGAAGAAGGAAGGGTTTAGGGGTTTAGGATGATTGTTAGGCCTACATTGTTTGAGGAAGGTTTCGGGTGCTTATTGAACCTAAACTGCACAATTTGCGCGTGTCCTCCATGTCGGCCAGTGATGCTGCCGAAAACCATGGGAAACAATCATCAGAAAGAGACACGTACAAACACTCCATACGACCTATTGTGTGGAACTATTCGGCTTGCTTGGGGGGGGTTTAGGATACCCCGGCCCAGACATGGCAACATTGCGCGTGTCCCCATGTCGGGCCGGAATGCTGCCCAGAACCATGGGAAATAGTATAAGAACACAGCAGAAACGGAAACAGACACGTTTGGGTACAAACAGTCCATACGACTTATTTTTTTGAACTATTCGGCTGGTTTGGGGGGGTTTAGGATACCCCGGCTCTTCATGTCATCATAAACGGCGCCAAAGCAGGTCAGCCGTTCAAAAGGGCTGAAGCTATGAAGTGTTGAGTTTTTTGGTCGTGGCGGAGGATTCCAGGGCCTTCCAGGGGCTTTCAGGGCCTTTTCTGACCATGCCGTGCTTTTTGGAGCGAGGAAGGGCCTCAAGATATCCAAGCTGTATTACGCCCAAAAGATTTGTTTGTGGAAGGTCACGGTGCCATGAGCAACACTGAGGCGGTGTCTCAAGGAACCGTGCTTGTGGGGACACGCTTAAGTGCCCAAGCAGTAAATGTTAGATTTTTAGTGGAGGCTGGACCCATACGTTCTCTTCTTTCTCACTAGGGGGCTCTTCCATTCTTGGGGCTTTTCCAGTTCTGGCTTTTTCCAGCCCTGGGCTTTTTCCAGCCCTGGGCTCTTTCCAGCCCCAGGCTGCTGTTGGACGTGGGGGGCCTTTTCCTGCGCTAGGCCGTTTCCTTTCTAAGGGCTTTTCCCTGACAAGGGCTTTTCCTGTCAGAGGCTGTTTCCCGCCCTGGGCCTTCCACCCGCGCTGGCGCTGAGTGGCTTTCGGGTGGGTTTGGGGGCTTTGGGCGGCTTTGACCATGCTATGAAGAGTGGGTTTGACTTCTTTTTAAAGGTGAGGGGAGCTGTGAAGGGGGCTTGATTTCCACAGCAAGTGCTAGGAGACTGAGTCGTTCCTGTACTGTGTTTGGAAGTCCTTGTCGCGTGCCTTTTGGAAGTCCTTGTCGCGTGCCTGGGCTTAACCTGCTTTGAGAACATAGCGAAGGTCACTTTCCTGCTGCTTGATGGAGGCCCTCCATGCACCATACAGTTTTAGCAAAACGGACCAAGGTGGTGAGCCTGCCCGCGAACGGCAGAGTCGTTGTGTTCCCGAATTAAAAAACATGTTTTGTGATTCTGGAGCCTAACCAAACGCGCGGCTCGTTTGTTTGACGAAGACTTGCTGACTTTCTGTCTTCTTTTATTCGGAGAGACCTTGCTGCGTTCACGCGCTGCTACTGCTGCCACCACTACAATGACTACGACCCTACTCCTTCTCCTTCGCTTCCGCTTAACTATTGCGCTCTAGAATGACCACCACGGCGACAACACCACTGCTACTTCATGGTGCTCCAAGAGGCCAGAGTGTCCTTAACAGGAAATTTTCCTCTCCAAGAACACTCTAACCTTTCTGGAAAGGGGTCCACAGTGTGCCTGAATTGTAAGTTACCAAATTTATTTCTTTTGTTGTCCTGGTATCTCAACTCGTTTCAAGCTGGGTACCTTGGAAGGTGATCTTCTGATTAGGCTTTTTGAAGGTGGTAGCTGTGCTTTACATGGCTTCCCGCTCCTGTCAACGGTTGTCCTGGCCAGCAAAGCCAACATCACGCACTCTTCACATCCCTTGAAAAAAGGAAATCCCAAGCTGCGTTTCAGAGTGAAAGAAGATGGTAACTTCGGGAGTGCCCAATAGGAACCCCGCCAGCCGCAGTGACAGACTTGTTGGTAGGAAGCTGACAGTCGCTGCCCTGACTGAAGGTTAGCAGGGGCACCGGCATGCTTGACCTGCAGGGTCCGTGTCATGCAAATGACGCCAGCTTCTCCCCAGACCTTTAGCGTATGCGCAATCCACCACAACGCGTTCCAAAATGTTGCAGAAAAACTTGCAAAGCAACGGTTAGAGAATTTGTGCAAGTGTGCACCATGTCGAAAAGCATCTGTAGTTGGCTTGTTGTCCTCAACCCCAAGCCCTCAACGTTTGAAGCTTTGCATTTGCATTTGGGACTTCTTCACATGAAGCTGCAAAAGATCGTTGGAGACCCCGCTGTTTGGTGGTTTGTGAACTGAAGATCCGAGGTCCTTTGTCGTTTGGACCTCTGTAAAGGTAGGGTCTGGGGGTTAACCTTGATTCCTGAAACGGTATTACATACATATTAAAAAAAAAAAAACTCATTTTTTTTAAAACCTCCGTCACTTTGGACCCTTGGTGGAAGAGCTTAAGACAGTGTCGGCTCATGGGCCTTTATTCCGCTTCCGAGCGCAAAGCGGAATGCAGAGCTCGCGTAGAGCCTGCATGCTGCAAATTTGCCGAGGGAGAGGCCTGCTGCTCCACTTGGCAGCATGTGAGATATCAGTCCGTGTTGCTTCGTGCACGCGCAGCATGGCAGGCATTCCAGGTTCGAGCCTGAGTCAGAGACCATACATCGTACCCTACTACACCGCCTTGTGGGAACATGCACTTTAGGGCGAGATTTCCGCAACGCTTCTTCTGTAAACAAGCGGAACAGCCTCCTCCAGCTTCCAACCCGACCAGCTCAACCTCCACAACCCGTGATGGCACCGTGCCTGTGCCCATCCGGCGCAGGAAAGCCTATGACCATGCAATGATTTCGGAAGCCTTGCGGACATGATGGATCGTTTTGAGGCTGCAGAGCTTATACAGGGCTTGGATGGTCACTGAGCATTTTGGGTTTGCTGGAGTTGAATTTTGAATTGGGGAACTTTTCGGAGTGTCAGTACCTTGAACCTCCAAGTGACTCTTATCACCACGATTGTATGCTCGACCTAACAAGCTGCCTTATTTGGCAGAGAGGGCAGGGGGGTCGCTCCATGACGTGCGCGCAGGTAGTTCAACCCGGTCGTTGGGCTGTCGCGGGGTAGTGATGAGAAAGTGGGCTGATTTTTGGCTATGCCAGTTCAACCTACTCGTAGCTTGAACCTGGCGAGCTGCCAGAGGGGCCTCCGGATGCGTTGGAGCTGCATTGAGCTGTTGAGAGTTGAGTGTACTCACATTGAATAGGTCACCTGGTCATGGGCGCTGGCGCCATGGCCTGAGCTCTTCAGTCGCTGCCATCTGCGTTTCTGCTTAAGTGGTATCTGAATATGTTCAGCCATGCTGCAGTGGTGGGGAACTTGGGGGCTTCATGGACATACGTTGTATGACGTAAAATCCATAAAAATTAACGGTAGCCTTTATATTCAGGAGCAAGAAGTTGAAGGTACTGTAACCCCCTTGCCATGCCCGATATAAACTCAACTCTCAGCCCTAGAAGCCCTTTAAGCCTCCATGCTCAACCAAGCCAGGCCAGCGCTGCGGCGAGCGAGGCTTGTGGTGCTGGGTAGACCGGAGAGAGTAACTATGGAGGTCTACCGAAGCACCCAAAAAGCATCTAAGTTTAGTTCGCGTTGGGCCAGTGCTTAACTTATAGTCTCAGGCCCCAGGCTGTGTTTTGTGGCTTGTCGCGCAGGTTTCAGAAGGGTCTTTGGGCGATAGAGGGAGAAAAAGCGTGGCTTCGGCGGAGATTTTGAGCTGCGGAGCTTCTTCGGGGGATGGCGGGAGCCCTCAGCTAGAAATTCAGAAAGCCTTGTTTTAAGAACCCCAAATCTGCTTTTTTGTATGTTACCTATTATAAGAATCCCATAGGATGAAGTGTAAGAAGCTAGCAAAAAATAGGTTTCAGGTTCGTAAGAAGGTATAAGGCAGCCTTTCGGAAAGGCCACACGGGGCTGGTACCTTAGAAACAGGGCCTTGAAGCCCTGCAGTGCCATTGATGCAAAAGTATATCTTGGCATAACATGGCAGAACGGCATAGCTGTGATCAGCTAACCGTTTGAGTGCCGCGACACCAGTTTGGGTGTATAGACTGCACACAACTCGGGCTTAGACAAGTTGAGCGCCCATGCGCCCACTTGTAGCGAAGCGATGCAAGGCCGTCAGCCTCCCCGTGGCCAAGGCCTCCCTTCCTGTCCGTTCAAGCGCAGGGTCCTTCGGGGGAATCGCAAGGGGATCGGCCGGTGCATAGAAGATATAGGGCCGACAGGGAGGTTGGTCGAAGTTTGTGTGCTGCAAGGCCTTGAAGCGGGTGGAGCTTTCGGAGTATTTCTCGGGGCCCTACTTGGAAGGCAAGCTCTACAGCGGATCGGACTACTCCAGAGACCTGGCTGGCGATGCGCAGACCTTCAAGTACGAGGCACCGGATGGCCCGGTCCACGTGTGGCAGTTTGCCTTTGATGCACGCGATCTTCACACAAGTGGCGACGATGATTTCGTCGTCCTGTATCACTACTGCAACGAGCTCGCATTCACCAACATCTGCAATGAGCAGCAAACCGCCGCAGAGCTCTTCGCGTCCTTGGTCGACACGAGGGCCCACTTCGGCAAGGGCATCTATGCCACCCGGCACGAGCCAAGTGCTTTTTGGCTGCATCATATGGCGTAACTCATTATGTAGCGTACGGACCCCACTCGTGGCCCAATCCATGCTTCAGAATAAGCGAGACTCGTTCTGTCGAGCGCATGGCACTTGCATGCTCAGGGGCCCCGGCCATAGTGAACCACAGAAATCCCCCCTGACGCGTTTCCAACTGCAACACGGGGAAAGGTGTGGGGGTCGCGCACCCGCGTGCTCTTGAACAACTACAGCAATGGCAGCCCGCTGTGCCCGGGCCTCAGTCAGAGCGCAGCAGAGTTCAACTGTAAGTCAACGGCGTCGCTCCTGCAGATTCCCGCCGCGATCTGCTGTGGAGGCGACGCCAATGGCGAGGAGGCCCGCCGCGTGCTCCGAGAATGGGGCGACGAGAACCCTTCCGGCCACCGCGCGGCGTTCTGCCTGCCAATCCTGGCTCCCAAGGCCATGGCCTACAACATCTTCGAGCAGTTGACGCGCCGTGGCTGCCTGTGGACCCCCGTGAACATACCACGAAATACAGCTTGATTGGTGGGATATTCCCACAGTGTTTTGAGCGTAATTATGCGTAGCAGGTTTTATGCCAGGCAGGTCCATGAGGAGCCACGGAGCCTCGGAGCCTCGAGGCCGGACATGTCCAGCAAGCTGGTCCACGATCCGGACACCGGCACGGAACGCCCTGTGAAATTGGGCGAGGACTACAAGGGCCGGGCCGTCGACCCGGCGCGCGACGTCTGGGTCGTGCGGGTGGTGGACGATGCCGGGGCGGTCCAGAACGCGTCGGCCGAAACCGATGGGCTCCTCCAGCTGATGCGGCGCCGCCTCGCCCTTCTCCGGGGCGACAAGGGCGACACCGACATGGACACCCTGGCTTGCATGCATGAGCTGGCTTCCAGGTTGCAAGCACGTGGACAACACGACGAGGCGGAGCAGCTCAACCGGGAGTGCCTGACCGAACGCCAGGGGCTCGGAACGGAAGCGACGTGGGTTGGCGGGTGGGCCAGAATCCTAATCTTAGGGTCCTGGCGGCGACAAAAAAGGGTTAGATCATGTGGCACAAGCACCAGCCCGGGCATCTGTAATCTGAGGCCGATCGAAGCTGGGCGACCAACATCCTCACACGCTGATCTCGATCAACAACCTCGCCGGGCTGTTGGAGGCTCCACGACACCTTGATATTGCCCAAGAACAGAAAGCCGACTGCAGAGACGCAGCTTGTTCTAACCTGTTACTCAAGGTCGACGCCCCGTGTGGCTCTGAACACGCCCTACACTCTCCCGCGCACTTCCAAGCTGAAAAGCCCCTTGAACGCTGAACTCTGAACACAAAGCCCACACCCTTCCAGGAAAACCCCCACATCGCAGCGTTTGCTCAAGGCTCGAAGCCGCTTGGAGGAGGCGGAGCCCCTGTATCGCGAGGCCTTGGAGGCTCGCCGCCGCCTGAGAAGTGAGGTCTGCCGTGCTGATGGTGGGCCTGAAATGGTCTGAAAGTTGCGGTTGAGATTGAGCATTTGGGGTTTAGGATGTTCCTGTGCTATTGTTGCCGACATGTATAGTTTTTGTTTGAATCCGGAAGACCACATCACATGGATATTGCCGAAAGCATGTCAGAGAATCTGGCAGAAGCACCAATCCGGAAGGTTGCGAATCTGAGGCCGATCGAAGCTGGGCGACCAACATCCTGACACGCTGATCTCGATCAACAACCTCGCCGCGCTGCTGAAGGCTCCGCGACACCTTGGGCGTGCGAGCTCGCGCGCCGAAGTGTTGTTGCATGCTTGCCCAACAACAAAAGCCGACTGCAGAGACGCAACTTGTTCTAACCTGTTACTCAAGCTCGAGACCGTGGCCCTGAACACGCCTTGCACTCTCCGGCGCACTTCCGAGCTGAGAAGCACCTTGAACGCTGAACTCTTGAACACAAAGCCCTTCCAGAGCTTCCAGGAAGCCCCCCAAATCGCAGCGTCCCACATCGCAGCGTTTGCTCGAGGCTCACGGCCGCTTGGAGGAGGCGGAGCCGCTGTGTCGCGAGGCCTTGGAGGCTCGCCGCTGCCTGAGAAGTGACGTCCGCTGTGCTGGCTCTATGTCGGCACTGTCCCTGTTTTGGGGGTCAGGGTTGCCGCCGCAACAGCGCTAGGGTGTGGACCTGAAAGTTTCGGTTGAGATTCAGGATTTGGGGTTTATCCTAATAAAAGCTCAGAAATGGCCCGGCAAAGGCACAAACGGGTTCAGACATGGTCTGGGAAAGGCCCAAAAAGGTTTGAAATGGTCCGAGGTTTATGCGGGATCTGGGGACTTTTTTGCTGCGAACTAGTCTGGGAAGGCTCAGAATGGTCCACAAAATCTTCAGGCTCAGAAATTGTCAGAAATGGTCCGGGAGGAGCCCAAAAAGCCTCAGATGTTCTGGCAGATGCACCAATCCGGGAGGGTTGCGAATCTGAGGCCGATCGAAGCTGGGCGACCAACATCCTGACACGCTGATCTCGATCAACAACCTCGCCGCGCTGCTGGAGGCTCCACGACACCTTTGGCGCACGAGCTTGCGCGCCGAAGTATTGTTGTTGCCCAACAACAAAAGCCGACTGCAGAGACGCAACTTGTTGTAACCGGTTACTCAAGCTCAGGCTCTGAGCAGTCCCTACACTTTCCCTTTCGCTTCCAAGCTGAAAAGCCCCTTGCATGCTGAACTCTGAACACAAAGCCCACACCCTTCCAGGAAAACCCGCACCTCGCAGCATTTGCTCAAGGCTCGCGGCCGCTTGGAGGAGGCGGAGCCCCTGTATCGCGAGGCCTTGAAGGCTCGCCGCCGCCTGAGAAGTGAGGTCTGCCGTGCTGATGGTGGGCCTGAAATGGTCTGAAAGTTGCGGTTGAGATTGAGCATTCTGGGTTTAGGATGTTCCTGTGCTATTGTTGCCGACATGTATAGTTTTTGATTAAATCCGGAAGACCACATCACATTGATATTGCCGAAAGCATGTCAGAGAATCTGGCAGAAGCACCAATCCGGAAGGTTGCGAATCTGAGGCCGATCGAAGCTGGGCGACCAACATCCTGACACGCTGATCTCGATCAACAACCTCGCCGCGCTGCTGAAGGCTCCGCGACACCTTGGGCGTGCGAGCTCGCGCGCCGAAGTGTTGTTGCATGCTTGCCCAACAACAAAAGCCGACTGCAGAGACGCAACTTGTTCTAACCTGTTACTCAAGCTCGACAGGCTCTGAGCACTCCCTACACTATCCCTTTCACTTCCAAGCTGAAATGCCCCTTGAACGCTGAACCCTTGAACACAAACCCCAAACCCTTCCAGAGCTTCCAGGAAGGCCCCACCTCGCAGCGTTTGCTCGAGGCTCGCGGCCGCTTGGAGGAGGCGGAGCCCCTGTATCGCGAGGCCTTGGAGTGTCGCCGCCGCCTGAGAAGTGAGGTCTGCTGTGTTGGTTCTGTGTCTTTCAGGGTTCCCCGGCTCTTTCCCTGTTTTGGGGGTCAGGGATTGCCGCCTCAACAGTGCGAGGGTGTGGACGGTGGGCCTGAGATGGTCTGAAAGTTGCCGTCGAGATTCAGGATTTGGCGTTTAGGATGCTCCAGTGCTACTGTTGCCGAAATGTCTACTGCTTTTCTGAAACGGGAG